AAGTATTACAAATAATGGCTTATGAAGATTCTTCTTGCCCTACCAAACCCACTCCATGCCCCAAACACCTCATTACTCTTCTGGATAGATCTCTGTCCGGCATTTTTTTTTCTTCTCTTGTCCGCTTTTTTTTTTTTTTTGGGTTTTTTTTTTTTTCCCCCCCCCCCCCCCCCCTCCCCTTTTTTCTTTCTTTTCTTTAATTAAGAGCTTGTTTTGATGTTCGTTGAACTCAGTGGGAATCTTTCCATCAAATTGAATGCATTAGGTCAGATTCAGAATCAGCAGTCACTGAAACAACCAAACAATAGTTTGGTCACACAGAAGGGCACTGTCTTAAATGGGATTTGCTTAAAAAAAGCAATAGAACTAATCCATTATGAACACTTGTTAGAGCAGAGTTTTGACTGTATCTGTATATTTACCAACACAATTTCAACCAATTTAAGCCAAATTGAAATTAATGCAGACTCTTGCTCCAGGCAGGAGCATAGGGCAGTTAAATTAAATCAGTTTAAACTAGCGTACTTTTAGCCACAGCAGTATGATACTGTGCGTTGAGCAGGCTTCGGTCTGGCTGCCTTACTTCTTTTGGTGGGTGAGGCGTTCTGATTTTCTTTGAGGACAACCTGTAGTGTGGTAAAACGCGCTACACCTCATTAGACCAACCCGTTCAGATCTGAGGGAGAGAGAACAAGTTTCTGGGAGAAAAATGTCCACCAAATCTCTCTTTCTCCTGCCCATTTCTACACTCCTGTTTCTCCACAAGCACATAGCACCTTACATGTCACAGTACGGTTGGCAGAAGCCTGAAGTAATCCGGGGCCTCTAAACACTGGTGAGACAGCGCATGTCCTTCTGGAGCAGAGCCTTCGAGGAGATCTTTGTCCTCTGCAACCTCTAGCACAAACCTACAACCTCACATTTTCGGTCTGCGGTTTTCTTCTGCTTTTTCCTTACCCGTGCAACTGCCCATTCATCACAGATGTCAGGGAGAGGTGCGCGACCTCCTGAGCTGACAAACTAAAGGGGTGGGTAGCAGAGTGTCAGGACCTCTCCAGGAGGTTGCTGTCCCCTGGTGCATGTAGTACAACGCAGAAGAGGTTGCACACAGCAGGGCAGTGGAAGCGTAACCAGCCAGGGTAAAATCCTCTCAGGGTAACCACCAGGAGACCCCTGCACATCATGTGCCTGGGACAATGCCAGTGAGGGTCTTCTCATCATCTTCCTTTGTGACCTTCCTTTGAAAGTATGTACCTCCCAGGAGTGGTGGAGGAAACTCAGTTTTGCAGCAGTCATTTTTCAGCTTCAGAAGGAGTTATCTCCTTCAGATCTTTCTGCCTCTTTACTGTGAAATGCCAAAGAAATGTAGGCCACAACCTTCTCTGATGCCACCTTGTAAATTCAAGGGAATCCCAGACACCCAATATGCTAAAGTCATTCCGTAGCACTTGACTCCATGTGAGGCACAACAGTTCCCAGCAGATTGGGTGATACAGGACTAGCATCCATTTCTCCTGGTGGCTTGCTCAAGAACTGCCCTTCTCTTCACAGCTTGTAAAAGGAAAGTTGATAGGGTGAGTGTGCCAGAATGGTTGTGAAAGCGCTGGGTCACAAAAGCTGAATGTGTCCTAAACGGGCCATGTTGCTACAAGAAAATGTTTCTGATGCTGATAGAAAATGATGTTTCCATTTTGAATGCACCAGTTCTTCTCTGATAAATGGGAACAAGTAATGGAAATGAACTTTCCATATTTCCAGAGACCTGTGCACAGCCACGGTCCCCAAAGTCTCGGTTATGGTCAGGTCTTTGGGGTCACTGAGGGGTTTTTATATACAGTTGAGCTGATTTATGAGATTTCCTGTTAAATTTTATTGCACCACTGGCTTTTCTTTGGTTCTTTTGAAGTAGAAAACGTAATTTCTGCAGCAAATGCAAGTCAAAAGTCTTAATGGAGCATAAAAATCTAAAAGGTCATGATTTTATAGCTTTAAAATAGAAGACAGCACACTGCTTGATACTCTTAAAAATATGAAAAGTTAATGAGGATGTTTTTCAGTAATAAAAAGATATAATCTTCTCTCAGAGCTTTGATTTTGGCTACTTGTACATTGGCTTTTTATGGGTGTATTTTTATAAATGAGAAACTCTTCTTGTTCTAGTACCATCCCGTTTCAGAGTCATGGAGAAAGAGATTAACATGAGGCAGAAACTTTGTCCCAGGGAGATTATTCAGTACTCGACACCCAGTGCTGCTTCTTCCTTTGCACACAGACTATTGATTGCATTCGTCTGGTTTCTAGGGTCATATGGCTTACCTTTACCTATATGACTTTGTTTAAGACCTGCGGGTGCATGCAAATTTACAACCAAATAAAAAATTGTTCCTGTCACAGACATTTTGCAAGCTTGGGTGAATCACAGTGGCACTGTTTACAAACACTCATTGCTTTCCACATGCAGGTGATTGGAATAGCCCGTGTTGTTTTAAAAAGAAAAAAATCTAGAAAGTGTCTCCCGGTGGACTTCTTTTGCTGATTTTGATTTAACCTGAAGTCTTAAAAATATTTTTTTTCATTTGCGCGTCTTAGCAAATGTTTTTAACTAGTATGTATGAACTTAGATAAAATAAAAATGCTTTCTCACCCTGTCACTTATTGGACTAGACCTTGGGCGGTTCACCTCCAACTGCTTGCAAATGTTTTTCCAGGTGCAGGCATGGTGAAAGCATTTTATTCCAATGGTCACTATAACCGCTGTTGCAGGGAGAAGTAATGGGAATGGGTCACAGGACAGAAGTGGTCGTGGGAAAAGCCAGTACGGCAGGAGGGGCACAGCTTTCCTTCTTTTCATTAATACGGACTGTTGTGTTTTCTGTCATTGTCTCTGCAGCAGTCCGGCACGGGGGACCTGAGGACTCTGAGGAAAGGGTTGTCCCCGTACCACTCTGAGTCGCAGCTCTCGTCGCTGCCGCAGTATCAAGACGCCCTGCAAAACGTAAGAGCCGTTTCCTTACCTATACAGTGGGCATGGCTGGAGGGGGGCGCGCAGAGATTACAGGGGAGCTCTCCCAGCTGAGAATTCACCCCAAAACCAGTGGTGCAAACGTGCAGCTGAAACCTGCAGCTGTTGGGAGGATGGGCAGCCCCTGGAAACATTGATCTTTACCTATGGTTTGGATCATCAGCTTCCCAGCGTAGGTTTTTTGGTTAACAGACAGTCACTGTTGTGCGTCTTTTAAAGCAAGGGTGAGTCTTGTTATACCTGCAGCTCCTTCTTTGTTAATGCCCTGTATGCCTGCTGACAAAAAGCTGGTTGTGGATGAGGCGAAAGATGGTTTGCCGAGTGTCTGGCAGCGTGTGGCCAGGGTTGCGTTAGTGAGTAAGTTCTTCTTAGGACTTTCATTGCAGGTTTTTCTGTGTCACAAATGAGGTTTATGTAACTCCTAAGATTTGCCTGTGTTGCTGGTTCTTGAACAACAGAAGAATCCTGATTAAAGCCTCTTGTGAAAAATGGGTACCGTGCTGTTGTGCTAGGGCTCCTCCTGTCAGCAGAGCTACGGGTGCTGTAGGATCAATTGTATGTTAGCTGCCTGCTTGGGTAAAAGTCGTTCTGTAGGCTTAGCTTGCCTCTTAGAGCAGTAAAAAGGGGGGTAATAATAATTTAAGAAACTTTGCATAAATAAAACTCCAGTCAGTGTGAAAGCAGAGCCCCTTTCTATCCCTGCTGGATGGAGACCACATGGGGATGGATGGAGACCACATGGGGATGGATGGATGGATGGATGGATGGATGGAGACCCTCCAGCCAAATAAAGGGACAAAACCATGCAAATGAAATGGAAGACTGTGGCTGAATATCTGCTTTTCTAACTTCGTGCCCCGTATATAAAGTCAGGAGGCTTTCTAAGGAGGGCAGAAGTGTATGAACCTGGAGATGTTTGGCTATGCCAGTACGTTACAGTTTTGGGGATTTTGCGTCTCCTCCCTTGTGCTCAGGCTATTGGTGTCCAGCTTGGTTTTGGGTGGGGGGCGTTTGGTCGGCATGTGCTGGCTGCCCAGAGGAGCACCGCTACGCACGAATTTGTGTTTGTGTTATGGGTCAGGCTAGGACACAGCCAGCTGCTTGCTGTGGAGGAGCTGTGCCAGGGCTGGGAGCTGGCAGGGCACCTCTCTGCCTGAGCATCAGCCCCCGCAGCTCGCTGGGGCTGCGAGAGGGCTGGCAGCAGACGGTGCTGCCTGCTGCAGCCCTGCCCAGCCCCTTGTCCCTGCTTTGCCTCCTTCCCCAAGGAAGAGGTGACACCTGGAGTTTGTGGAGAGGCCTGGGTGCTGCGTGACACTCGCCTCCATCTGTTGCCCTGGCTGTGTTCTGCCTTCTTTGCGGGAAGATGGTTGAAGGAAAAACCAGAACCAGCTCTGGATCCAAATCCACATCCTCTGGGGTACTTATGTAGCTATTTATTTATTTATTCCTACCAAAATCCCTTTGGTTTTGTGGCTTGACATGATGTATTGGATAATGATAACAACTGCATGCAGATGTCTTTGAATGTCTCAGGCACCTCCCAGAAAGTGAACGGTTAGACATACCTGACTTTCTCTGCAGCCTTTTTTTTGACAGCAGGCATGAGTTTGTGAGAAATTGTTCGTCTTTGTGCCTGCACAGGCTTCACGCGGGTGAGTGATGGTGGACAATTGGTGTTGGCTCCAAAGCTGTCACGTCTGGTCAGGGCTTCATCATCATCACTGCCTGTGCAGCTCTTTGGGGAAGTTCCTCAGCACATCCCTCACTGTCACACAGTTTGCACGTAGGCGTCACTCCAGCTCTCCATGGCCCTGACACACCTTGGTTAATGAAACAGTTTGGTGTTTCTAATGGATCCTGAATCATGGACGCCAGTGCACCGTCAAAACACAGAATCGAAAGACACTCATAATTACAGCTGGTGCACTGTTTAGTCAGCAGTGCATCGTGCAGATGGTGAATTCTGTATGTACTCTGTGGTCTGCAGCGGTTACCAAATATCCAGGAAAAAAAGTCCCAGGGGGTTAGCTCTGACCTACAAGCCCCCGGCCATTGCAAGGGAAGGTGTGATGCGTATGTTAGGTTGAACTGAGAGCAGGCTGGTCAAACTCCCCGGCCCTGGGAACTGCATACCAGAGCCACATGGTGTTCTGGTGGCTCCCCATGTCCTTTGGGAGGTGATGGCGATTCCCTTGGGCTCTGACTCTTAGTGAGGCATGAGACAAGGCAGCAACAAGCAGCTCCCCCTGGAACCTGCCATTCCCCTGGGATGAGAGGGGCAGGCTCCAGGGCAAGCTGGTTGGGCTGGCTCGATCCTTCCCATCACTGGCAGCCTCCAGACCAGCTCAGCCTTTAGTCAGATGATGTCTCAGGCATGGGAGCTGGCATTGAGTTACCTGTAGGCAGTGCACTGCTGAAGACCAACGGGCCAGCCAAGTGTCTGGGTGTCAGCGGTGCAAATGATCTCACAACATCCTTGGAGGGCTTGTGCTTGCATACACTAGCCTGAGCTGTTGCTATTTCTTCAGTACTTTGGTTCTCCATGGTAGCTAGCGCAGATTTTTTTCACCCATCTTGCATTTGTATCTTCTCTGCACTGCATACGTTCCCTTCATGGATCCTCCATGGGGATGTGGCGGCGCTTGGGATGAGTTATTGCACTCAAATTATCAGCCCTCTGATTTATTGCAGGAAGCTGTTGGCTTCAGGGGGGTCTCAGGTGTGCGGCTGGAGAGCGCAGAGAAGGTGATGCTCAAGTCTGTCCTGGAAACTCTTCCAGCTCAGTGCTTTTCTGGAGTTTATGAGCACCAGGTGGGAGTTACACACCTTCAGTTTTGTTAGTTGGCATTGTCCAAGGGGTTCATGTTGCCCGTTCATATAGTCTCACCTCTACTTAGTGAGACAGAAATTACATTTCCATAGCACTGACAGTTTTAGGAGAATAATGGCCGTTTCAGGAAATTGCTGTTACAGGGGAAAGAAGGAGTCCTGTCAGCACAGGGTTGTGAGTCCAGACTGGGACCCATGCCTGCCACCATGGAGGGACCCTTCTCTTGCAAACACCTGCACCTTCTTTCACCTCTCTGTTCCTCTCTTTTTCCCTTGAAGGAATTGGTTGGGAAATCACCCATTCCATAGTATGGTTTTCAAGGAGCTCACTAGGCTAAATAGCACTAAGTGCTCCAGGATCTGCCAGGGTGCACACTGAAAAGTGGTGTTTAATTTTTGGAACAGTATGGCATTGCTGGAGAGTTCACTTGTTTCTCTCATAGGCTTTCTCCAGCGTTAATCTAATGATGAGTGAAGACTGGGAGGTGGAGTTGTCCACACTCGGTGTCAGCGCGCAGGTCTCTCCCTCTCCGGAAAGCTGCCCTACACGGTGCTTAACCTTTGGTCACATATAATGATAGCTGAGTTATGTCTCTGACATGGGGAGAATGTATGGGGGAAAAGGGAATTCCCCATCCACAGTGGTAAGGCTCTTATTTCGTTACTAATAGTCATGTTTCAGCAATTCACTTTCTAAGAGGTAAAATCTCAGTTGCTGACTTCTGGAACATTTGAGGCACCTGTAGCACAGCTGAGGATGAATGCAGTGCCTGAGGCACAGCCCAGAGTTTGCATCTTTGTCTCTTCTCCGCTCCCTTTGGCCTCTTCTTGGGGTGCTCTGGCTGCCTGCATGGACACACAGTCCCTGCAGCCCTTCACATTCCTGCCCGCTGCCCCGCGGCTGTGCCCCAGGCGTGTCTCAGGGCCCAGGCATGGGAAGGTGGCCCTAGGGCTGCTCATGATCCGACGGTTGGAGGTACCTTCACCTTGAGAAGCTCATAAGCCAGCTGACAGGAGGAGCCATTTGTCCACATTGGCATAAAACACCATCAAACGTGAAAGGGCCTGTTACTAGCAGTTGGGGCTAGCCTTGGCTGGCTTATATTTAAAATTTGCTAGCAGCGTGCGTGTGATTTGTAATAGGAATCCTGCCTTTAGTGGAAGGAACTGTTGAGGTTGTTAACCATAGAATCATAGAATGGTCTAGGTTGGAAGGGACCTTGAAGATCATAGAGTTCCAACCTCCCTGCCATGGGCAGGGACACCTTCCACTAGACCAGGTTGCCCAAGGCCACATCCAGCCTGGCCTTGAACACCTCCAGGGATGGGGCCTCAACAACCTCTTTGGGCAACCTGTGCCAGTGCCTCACCACCCTCAGAGTGAAAAATTTCTTCCTAATGTGTAATCTAAACCTGCCCTCTTCCAGTTTATATCCATTCCCCTTTGTCCTGTCACTACATGCCCTAGTAAAAAGTCCTTCCCCATCTCTCCTGTAGGCCCCCTTTAGGGACTGGAAGGCCACAATAAGGTCTCCCTGGAGCCTTGTTAATGTTAAGGTTAGCGTGGATGCAGTGTGAATGGAAAAGTGTATGCAAAAACACCAGCAGGAACGCTAGAGCAAGGATGCAGGGATGGCCTGTGCTGGTGACCAAAGACACGACTGATAGCAAACAAACGGGTAAACACTGTGGGATGTGTGGTTTGCGTCAGGACCAGGAGGTCTGCGATGTGATAAGGCCGCAGAACAGATGGCTCATCAATAGAAGACCTGTTCACTGATAACAGCAGCAAGGTTACGCTGTGATGTGCCATTGCGCTTCCTGTGGTTCCAAGAGGAAGGCTTAGATAAGGTGCCCAAAATGAGGGAAAGAAGGCAACAGGCAGCAGCTTTCCTCGTGTTTATGGAGGGTAAGTAAGCAAGACACTGAGATAAAGATCAGCCCATAATAACCATTGACCCCTAAAGCATGTGAAAAATGTGTCCAAACCCCAGTTCTTTGCTGTCAGTGAGGAGGGATGCCAGAGCTGCTGTTAGGACTTGATAGCTGGAGTCCCTCGTCCTCTGTGTTGCGCGCAGTGACCCAGACCATGCCACACAGACATCTCCCTTTTGGTGAGGGCATGAGTGTGAGTTTGTAGGTGT